TATTTTGTTAACCTAATAAACTTGATCTGCACGTGGTCCGCGCACGAGTTTTTCATATGATGATTCATTTTAATCACACAGGTGTCATTAAGTTAGAAGAAAATTTATATAGTTGATTGTTTTAGTGTGTTTAATAAACCTCTCCTATCAATTATGAATAATATTTTTGTATGTAAATGGTGCCAATGAAAATAGAGAATTTAGAGAAACTGTTGTTGATCAGAGCTAGAAATGAGAAAGTTTGAGATATCTTGATAATATATTTCATTCTATAACTATCATGTTCATCATAGAACAGAATACTGTTGACATTGAATATGATTAACTAGTTATCAGGTTAATTAGTTTGTTTTCTTTTTATTAAACATTTTGAAAGAATGAAGATTCAGTTCGACAGTGTTAATTTTATAGGTGATATTGTTCATGATTTTCAATATGCTAGAAAGAAAAACATTTCTTGTCATTAATAAGTAGGATTCAAGAGTTATATGTTTCTTAACGTGTTAAAAGTGGTTCGTGATAATAGCTAATAATCTTGGAATATTCTTGTATTATTCTCTAAAAGTTGAAAATTATGGTTTTCCATTGTATATCGGCATGACCTTGGTTTCAAACAAAGATTGGATGAAGGAACAAATAGAATTTACATATACTTTTTTTACTTTTATCAATCTTATTTCGAAGAAAATCTATTATCACATCATTTGCTTCTATTTTGTATATAATAAGCCATGCCACATAAGTCACAAATGAACCTGCTCAATCGATGATCGCCGTTTGGACTAGTTTTTATGTATATTATAGTGGTGGGTTGTTAGCGTTCACGCTCACGAAGAGCGACGAACACAGTTAACGTGCGTGTGTGGTTTATTCTCTCTCTGTTTATTCTTTAAGAAAACAAACGTTTATATACGAACATGAAAAACAAGGACAAAAGTAGAAAGGAATAGAAAGGTTAATCAAGGACAAAGAAGAGCAATAGAAACGAAATAACAGAAACGAAAATATCAAAGAAAAGAGAATAGATAGAATCGAGGTATATGTAGTTACAATACACTGTAACATGGGTGTTTGAGGAATTTCTATGCAAACCATTTCAAAAAATATTGTTCCATCCTTGAGATATTTAATTTTCTATGATAGTATCCTCGTCAAAAAATGACACCTTTTGGGATTTTTTGTGGCATAAATACCTCTTCAAGAATATATCCATTTCGTTTCAAATTTTTCCTGTAAATATATGTCATCATTCTGTATTACTGAAAAAAAAATAGCTCCAATGGATGAACCGTTGATAAGTTGACCAAGACTACCGAGTACATAAAAAATTTTCACTTGTTGATGTATTGTATATATACATATCGATTGAACGGATCAAGATAGAGTGCTGATATTTTGGCTACATAGAGACCTCACCAAGTGCTAAGCCTCATGAAGGATTAAGCTCTCTAGCCAGTTTCTATGGCTCAGGCGATGGTCATCAAAACTGGGATTTTCGTTAAAATCACCGTTTTGGAAGAGGTCGATCTAGAGCAAAACCAGGTCCATACAAGTTTGATCTGTGTGGTTTTAAGGGTTTGGGTGTGGATGTAAGCACTGGTAAAAACAACATCCATATCCACCCTGCGCATTGTTGTCCGTTAAAATGAGTCTTTATCCGTCTGGACATCGTTACCTTATCCTACAAAGTAATTGTCTCGTTCTCCCTGAATATTATCCTTATTGGAAAACATTAAAAGTAATAAATAGCACAAAATCGTATCTCAGCAGAAGTGTACAGAATAAGCTTTTTTCGTACTCTATAACGTAACTGAGAAAGATTTTCTATTTCTTATCTTATTGTATACAACAAGATAAATTAGAGTAATCCTGCGCGTCTCTACTTTTCATTTTTTTTTGCCATTCTTTTATCATAATCTGAACAAACTGTATTCATAGATTCTATTATAGTAGCCATGTGTGCTTGTACAAGAATAAAATATTAATATATACATATATCGATTAGGCGCAATTTCAACATTCAGAAGTTAATATTATTACAATCAAACAGTCATTACCACGTTGATTGAAATTTTTCTTGTGTACCGATTTGAATGAAAATAAGCATAACATTCTTTGATGTCACGAATCTCACTGTACTTTTGGAACGTTCGATAGTCATTACGCTTGCCAAATTTCACAGACAGTTTACACTGTCTGACGAATTTACAAGACGCCTATACGCAGTAGAAAATTTCGCGGATACATCGTGAGAAAATTTGTTCGAACACTTCGAAAAAGTGGGAGGGGAGGTTAGCCCACTTCATTTCCTACAGCGAGAGCCATGACCGAGATCAAACCACAATACTACAGATTTATTTGCAAGTTCAGAAATATTTTTCTGGTTGCTCCTTACCTATCGTAACGTAGATCGTTATTGATGTCACCTTATTTTACTAAGTTCCAACGCTTTGAATTGGTTGCACTCCTACGTTTCACAAAAAGAGTTATCAGTGTTTGACTATAATTTTTATTGAGGGTTAAGTATTTCCAATAAAATTCATATGAAGGCTTTTTAAACTGAAGGTTTCTCTTTAAATAATTTTAATAGTCATTTGATAGTTCTGAAAGTTTCAATGAAAATGCAAATGTTTTCCTCGAGATATTTTGATATCGGAAGAAACAGCAATTTACTGTAGAAGAACATCATGACAAAACCTTATATCTCAAGAAAAATATGTGTATTTTTGTTGAAGCTTTCAAAACTATCTAATGACTATAGAAGCTCTTTATATATATGCAAAGTTTCATTTAAACGACCATAGCTTTTCACTGGTAGACTATGGATCCAAACCACTTAAGGCTTTATGTTAAACTCCCCCCCAGAATAGAAGGCCACCCCCATTAGAAGGCCACCCCTGAGTCATATTTGCAAAAGTCACATTAGAAGGCCATGGCTTTCTAATGAATTGTTTGGATATTACATAAATATTCTGTGCTAGTTTTATAAATATCTTAGCATTTTGAGAGATCATGTATGATCTCCACCGCACTCCTGTTTGGTTTTGCTATAAATTTAAAGAGGTATGTTCAATTTCCAAAAGCTGTCAAAACAAAACAAAGTTTAATATGCCTATTTGATCGCTTTAATTCTTTTGCTTTGGTACGATTACATATCTTTTGAATACATATAAAAACTTTTTTGTTCTTTGAAGTATTTGTGGTGCCAGACATCGGATAGGTATACTAATATTTGTTGATTAAATATAATATCCATGTAGCCGATAATGGATGAATAATGGAAAATGATCCATTATTTCCCATTATTTGAAGAAAAACATGAATTAATGCATTATAATTAATTATTTTTTGACTTTTCAATGCATTTCAATGCATTATTTCTAATAATGCTGAAAATGAAGGATAATGCCTAAATTTTCAATGCATTGTAATGCATTATTATAAAAAAAAAATGCATTATGATGCGTTGATAAATCAATGTATTGCAATGGATTAATTAAAAATAATGCATTATAATGCATGAAATAGGTTGCATTATCATGTAATTGCATCCATTGCATTTCTATTGTAAAATAATGCATTGCAATGCCCATTATTTCATAAAATCGGCTACATGGGTAGCATTAGCTCAAAAAGTCTAAACAAATTTCAATTTTCAGTTGTCGAGCTAGAAAAACAGAATCAACAACTAACAAAAAAAAATTGTAATTTTTTACCATAAAAGTCCTATTAGAAGGCCACCCCTAATAGAAGGCCACCCTGAAAAGAGCGATGTGAATTTCCATAATAGAAGGCCATGGCCTTTTATTCTGGGGGGGGGGGGGGGTTACCTAAATAGGATCTATCACATGAGGTATGAACGAATCAAAAACAAACTTGCTATTTCAGATTTTCCATTCTAAGACAATAGTTCTCTCCTTGTAAATATTTCCAATAGTCTATGAAAAATAAGGTTAAGATGTCTGTCATTCGCCATGACCTTGATGAATTTCAACATAAGACAATATTTTCATTAACTTCTCACGAGAAAGATCCATCGATTGATTAATCGCTTTTGAGTCGAAAACATTTGTATCATGTAAATCCTAATGAATTATGAGTACTCTCAAAAAGAGTTTCGATCTATAAGTTATTGTTGCCTAGACATGTCATTTTCAATACTGTGGTGTAGTCTCTCTCAAAAACACCAGAAAAATTGCTTTTCGAAATTCAACTTGAAACTTTGTATAAGAACAACTCTTAACGAGAATAATTTATCGTGAAAGTAACAAGCCATTTGATTTGTTTCTGTCCTAAAATAACAACATCGACTCTACAGAAGTGTATGAAAGTTGCAAAAGATATGCTGGTACTATGACTGTAATTTGAGGCATAGACAACAACAATACCAAGGCTCTTAATCTAATATCCATGTTTTTTACATTGTTGGATGATACAACTGATGGACATAATATGATCTGATTCTTTTAATAATCCTGCATTAATGAATATTGTTTTTTAGTTTGATTGCATAGAAATACAAATAAACTTTTGTTAATAGGCAACACAATTTGTTCAAAATCCACAACTTCAAGGATTATAAAGTCATTAATTTTCATTATATATAAATTATTATATGTAAATGATTTTTATAGAATGGCTAATTTAGTAACAAAATTAACTGGACAAGAAGATGATCAAGTCGATTTAGATACTCTATCACAAGCATAACGTAAAAACAATGGTTTGATATAGTAAATTTTATTTTATAGAGGTCAACATATGACAACTGAATTATCAACTAATAATCCTAATTTAGTCGAATCTCTTCGATGTAATATAAGTAATCAATACCAACCGAAACACAAATGATAATTCAACATATTTCGTTAAATATCTTTATTTATTTTCTTTTTAAATTCTAATAAAGAAGTAAACCAAAGCAGAATATTATTATAAGATATTCTTTTCGCTTGATTGTCTAAACAATATATTGATTAGAAAAAAAAAAGAATTTTGTTTTATGTTAATTTAGCATAAGATTCGATTGTAGCAATACCACATATATTGTTATCATCTTCAATTAAACGTAAATAACCATTTTCACCCCAACTTGGTTCATACGAGTTTTTTATTATCCAATAAGGTGGTTTAAGTCCTTCATCATATTCATAACCTACAACAACCATAGCATGTTCCATATCATATCGATTTCATAAAACATAAATAGTTTGGAATCCGCATCAAGTCCAATAAATATTGATCCATTATTAATAAGTACTTCAGCCATTTGTTTTTCATCTCCTACAGGAATATCTACATATTCAACTATACCAAGATCAATTTCATTAATACCCTCTGTTCTACATGATTGATCTTTTCTCACATAAGAATAAGAAGCATCCGTAGCTATTTTATCACCTTTTTCAATGAGATACTTCATAGATGATTGAAAAAGACCACCACCTATACAACCTTCATTTTCATCTTTTGCACAATCAACTATTTGTTGTGGTCTGAATTCAATAACATTTTTAGAATTTGTTTTTATAGCATAAACTGATTCCAGAACCGCAACTGTAGCAAATGCATAACAAGATAGACATCTGTGTTGATTTTTAACTGAGCTTGCAACATTTTTTGTTCTCCAATCAAATGCTTTAGGTAATGGACTAGTATCATTGTTATTTTGATCTTGACTTAAAAGTTCATCAAACTCATCATCAGACAATCGTCTATCTTTATATCGATGTTTTTTTAAATTTCGTTTTAATCTTCTTGAATCATCATGACGTTCATAAAGTTTTGCTAAATTACTTTGTAATGCATCTTGATCTGGTCCATCATTCATTACATCTCGTCGTAAGCTAGCTGGAACTTTTAAACCTGTTTTTTTAATGCATCAAATTCTGCTAATGTCCAATCAAAAAATTGATTTAATCCTAATTGATATGTGTGCGATTTTTTCAAATTTGATTTCACTACATACTTAAGATGTTTTACAAATATACGAAAACGTTCTTCTTCTTCTCGTACAAGAACAAGAAAACAAGAATGTCTTCTTTTTGGTTCAAATCAAACAATCTTTTGTTTATAAACTAACCGCTCGATGAATAAAGACGGCGATATTTTGTTTTTAAAAAAGACCAAATTTGACGAATAACTTAATCATTAAGTTTTACTCTTCCACCAAGAAGTTGAATTTTACCAGTATCAACAAAACTATCAACATAGTCTTGAAGAGGGTGTGGGT